CGTAGTTTCCACCCAGTGTTCTGTATCAGTCGCACAACGGAAAACGGGATTGACAAAACGCAGCCGATGCAAATTCATAGGATCTGTGGGTGTGCCCGAAGCACTCCCAGGCCTTGTTAAGGTCACTTTTGGGAGTTCGGCTACCCTTCCACCAGCTAACATGGAAGTGAAAGACTACTTTCCTCTTGGAAAGGGCCCTTTTGCACAAACCCATGTTAGTTGGTGGGACCGTATCCGCTGCAATTCCTGAGGCTCTTCGAGGACGATCTCCTGCCAGATGTCATCATGTACAACGCGGTAATCTCCGCCTGCGAGCAGGCGACAAGCGCCGAGCTTTGCCGGTTGACGCTGAGGAGGTCTGGGGAAACTGCAGAGAATTCGGCCTCTTTGGTTTGGAAGGGGCACAAATCTTGGTGGCTCCCAGCCATCCGGTTCAACTTAGCCTTTTGGATTTTTAGTGTTTAGTGGCAGTTTCCATTTAACCCAACAAAAGTAAATCTTTTAGAGGGGGATCTGAGGGCAGCCCAGTAATCCATGCACCATCCCTGAGTCGCTTGGGCCTGGGTGCAGGGGGGTGGGTACGCTCTTTGGCTTGCTGGCTCTCCGGAATAGGTTGGAATGGCCCCGGGACTGAACCGTCCCCGTGTGGCTTCTTGAAGGGGATGCCAAGCGGTCAAAAGTGGGTCCTCCTTTTGTGCCCAATGTTTTACGAAGCAAATCTGATATCAAGCATATCAAGGTCCTTAGTTCGGCTTCTGACCTCTGTCCGCGTGGATGCGTCCTTTTTTCTGGGAACCTCCGTTTCTTGGGTATTAACAGGAATCTAAAAGCACATCATCAATCGTCGGGGTTTCCATTTGGTGCCCTTCCCTTTCCTTTCCTTGCAGTTGCCTCGGCCGCCAGTTCCCCTCACACACACAGTATCACCTCACCCTCACTGGTGCGCTTGGCTGGCGATTTGCACCTTTGGTTCTTATTGAAACCCGGCAGGAAGGTATAAGATGATTTTCCCAGGGGCTTCAGGGGGGCAAGTTTCCTTGAAGGTAGGGTTTGCCAGTAGAAATATGTTGGGAGTCAACCCCCCCACTTAATTTCTTGGTAGCTCCCAGCCATCCCCTTGGCCTTTTAGCCTTTGAGTGTTTAGTGGTAGTTTGCATTTAACCCGCTAAAAGTGAGTCACTTTTAGCGGGGGAACTGAGGGCAGCCCAGATTTGTGGCTTTCCAGAGGGAAATCCTTGAACCCAGGCCACCCCGGCCGCGCTTGAGGCCGGCAAATGGGCGGAAGCTCTCCTCCTCTTTGCGCAGCTCGCGACTTTTGGCCGCCCGACATCGGTGTCCTTCAATGCGGCGGCCGGCGCTTGCGCGAAGGCCACAGGTCCAGTTTGCGTTTTGGTTGTTGTTTTTTGCGTTTCCGGCCTATGGCTCGACGGGAGCACCGGGGGATTTCCGAATTTCCCACCCCCCGCGCAGCAAATTCGAGCATGTGCTTGGTGGCTGGTTTACTTGCAATATGTAGGGCATTCACTGTAGCCACCATCGATCGTTTTGTTGCTGACCTTTCTTTCTGCTTTAAATGTCTCCTGTGCGGCCCATTCAAGACGAAAGGTTCTCTTGATAGTGATGCGTGAAGGGGCAAAAAGGGATGGTCAAGACGCCCAAAGCGAATCGAACGGACCACTGACCACTTGGCTTTTCCCTTAGTCCAGTCCGTGTGTGCTGGGCCTAAATAGTCCGTAGTTCTTGATTTAGACAAAAGAAAACTCAAATGGGATGGCTGATGTTCTATTTGAGCCAACCTCCCCAAATAGAACCCGGTTTGGTCAACGTCCCAAAGGTCCTCCTTGGGGAAGAGGAAGCCCGATTTGCTGGTCTGGGGGTTTGAAGGTAGGCTGGAGCGCAGCTACATTTCAGGGCTTGACCACGTGCCCCTTGGCTACGGAGTATGGGTTTGGAGGTATAAGGGTTGTACCAATACTTGAGTTGGTAAAGCAGTGCACAAGTAGTCTATAACTATATTAAAAGTTACACTACATTATTGCCTATAGCTCAAACACCATACCTTGAAATAATGGTGAACACGTGGTTATATTAAAGAGAGTGGGGGGCCATTGGGGGGGGGGAGGGACATGGTGTTTCCCTGTGCCCCCTGGAGTGTCACCGAAAAGGAGAGCGCCGCGCTTGTTCACTCATGCCAATATCATGCTTCCCCCGCCAAGTCGAGAAAATGGCAAAGCAGGCATGTGTTGGGAATAAAGGGGTCCGTTCCCTCCTTTGACAGGCGTTAGTTCTCCTGGTTTCTCTTTAAGACAAAAGCTACAGGAAAATCCAAAATGGCAAGTAAATCCTGGTTTCTCTTGTGACAATTGCTCAGCCAACCCTTGATTGGTGGCCTGGTTTGGTGCTTGGGGATTTTAACCTTGGGTGTTGTAGAGGGTAACACCCAAACCACCCATTATTGTAAAGCTGGAAAACTGGTCCGAATCTGGTTTCACAATGCTTCACTGGCCAAAGCCGGCGGTCGACTCGTAGACTCGTCGGCCGTCGGCTTCGTAACAGGCCGCCAAGTGGTCCACGGCGGTGCTTCTGCTGGACGACGCCTGCGCCAAGGGGCGAGCTCCTCGCCGAGCTGGCGGGCCTGGGTTCAGATTGTCTCCCCCTGAGGGATCGCGCCAAGGAGGACCAAAGAAATGATTTGTGTGCCTCCCTTGAAGCGAATCCTTTACAGCTTGTGCGGAAGATTGCCCAAAAGCCAGGAAGTTGGCGGGGCGCCAGGTGTGCCTTGAATTTGGGCGAGTGAGGTTGACATCACCACCTTCAGCGCTGCACTCACTTCCTGCGAGGGAGCGAGCCGGCACTACACGTTGCAGCTCCTGTGGCTTGGTCGAGTTCAGCTCCATCTTGCTCGGTCTCTCTGGAGATCATGTTTTTTGCCAAGCAATATACCATCTAGGTCCCCCAGTAGTGCCCTTCTCTCCCCTTTTGTGGTTGGGAGGGTTCCCCTACAAAAATAGACTACAGGAAAAAAGAACATGGGTACCCCTATTCTAAGCTCCTTACAGGACCTAGCCATGCTGGAGGGCGGAGCCAGGTGGGAACCGCCGCCCAGAAGGTTTCTTTCACTGATGGGTCCTCATAATATGTCCCGTTCTGAGTGGTTGAAATCTCATGGCGGGAACAGCCAGCATGTCCCATGACGCAAAAAGGCAATATGACAGCCCACAATCACCAAGCCGAGGTGTCCTTTTGGGCAAATAACATAGCCGAGTAAATGATAAGCAGCAAACTGAGAATTGCTTGGGTTCCATCTATGTTCAACCTGTCACTGACATGGTTGGGGACAATCAGGTTGTATATGACCTCTTTGTGCAATACCAAAGTGTTAATTGTAGTCATGGGGATGGCCCGCACTTGGTATCACAGAAGTTGATTGTTTGTGTTGTTTTTTCTCGCACAAGCATGGTCCTTGACCTTCGAAGGTTACCTGAGACGTCTCTGCCAGGTATCGCCTCCAAGACTTTTGCGTGGCCCTGGGCTCAGTTGTCTGAGATGCGATGTACAGACGCGTCGCCAGTGAGAAAGGAGTCAAAAGGAGACCGGGGGACACCCGCAGTTTGTGCTTTGCTGATGTGTGTGTGTGTGTGTGTGTGCAACTGGGAGTGGTTCAGTGTGTTGCAAGTCCAAAATTACAAGGCGTTGAGGGGAAAGGATGTTGAACAGAGTTCAAATCACAATCTTGGTCTTGATGTAAGACAGGAACCTAGTAAGGAAGCCAAGCTGGTTGTTTCTTCTTGAATAATTTAGTTGGAGCTCTTGTTTGAAGTATAGGTTTTTTTGAATGAATTGGATTTGTTTTGGACTCTAGTGAGGGAAAGATAAGATGGTTGTTTCTTCAAACCAATTTACCTAGAATTATTGTTTTGAATTGCAATTTAAATAGAAATACGTGTCCAAGTAGGGAGTTGATTAGAATGCGATTGATTTTTATGGAACCTAGCAAGGAAAGACAGGCTGGCAGCATGCTCTTCTTAATTTTCTTGAAATTCGTAATGTTGAATCATATTTTAAGTAGGAACTCCTGTACCAGTAGGGTTTTATTAGAATGTAATTTGGCATTTAAATAGAACCTAGTGCTTGCCCCTCAAAAGTAGTGAAACCCCTAGCAGAAATTAAGGAAACCGCAATGTCTGTTCTATTGGTTTACAAGTTTTAAGTTGCCGCACATCCCCTTTGTGTGTCTTCCCGTGGGTTTTGGGTAGAGCACTCCTTTTTGATACCAGGTTTTGGTGGCATCTCACCTAGGCCTCTTCCAAGTCCTTCTGACTCCCGGAACCTGCCCAGGCGAGTGCTTTCGGCAGCCCTGCTGTCAAGAGGGCAGAAAAGGGCTTGCTGCCTGGCTTTCGGAATTCCCACAAAGTAAATTGGGTATGGGTCAAAATCAAACCACCAGGGGGCCGCAGGTTTTAGTCCATGTTTCCATTACCAGGGCAACCCATTTTGGGGTTACCTTATTTTTGACCCACTGCCAATTGATTCCAAAGACTATCCCCTCGGAGTTTGAAGTTGACAGCCTCTTGGGATACAACTGAGATGCTTGGTAAACCCACGCGCTCGCCAACGGATAGTACCCCAAAGCCACGGGCTCTGTAGGGAACAAGCTTGCCACAGCCCAACAAAGCAGGTCTATGTCGGTGGGTGCTAAGAGCTTGCAAAATGGCCGAAAAGCCAGGGGAATTTCGGTCGTCTCGTGGGGCAACCATTGGATAGGCCCAGAAGCCTTTCCTTCTGTTCGTAAGCCACGATCTATCATCCACCAGGCTTAGTCGACAGGCTGTCCGTTGACTACCTTGGCGGCACAATGGATTGACGGCTGTTTTCGGAATTATCCTACATTGCCTTTGCGGAGTTGCAGGTTGCTTGGTTGTTCAGTTGTGTTCATACCGAGGGCTCCCCCCAAAATGCCGCTGGCATGCCAAGGGGGAACGTGCAAAGTCCTCCCCTATGTTACAATGGCTGTATGCCGAAGCTCGGTTGAGCAGACTTTGCTGCCAAGCCTCCGATTTTGCCCCTGGTCGATTTTCTGCTTCGCGATGCTAAAGCCTCCAATGCGACAGCAGGAGCGGGCGCCTCCTGAATCCGCAATTGTTGGGCGGGGGGCGGGGGGGGGGGGGGGGACATTGTCCTTACTGCTTTCGGGAGTTGACAAAGTCAGAAACTGGGGGCTGAAACCCTTTCACCTACCTTGGGTGACTCGGATTGTGAAATAATCCCCGGCAACTTGAGTCATGCTTTTGGGACATCCTAGTTTGGCTTGTGTCCTACATTGGTGTGATCCACATGTAGTGCAAAAAACCTGAAACAAGCAGAAACTGGTTCATGGTTGTGGAAAAAGACAAGTCACGAAAGCTAGCTTTAGCTAGCTGAAGTTTCTCCTTGCGTAAGCAAGGTAAGGGGCTCAAATGCCGAAAGATTGATTTTTTCAATTATTCGAGCCGATCCAATTATTTAGACCCCCCTCCCCCCCCTCCCCCCCCCCTCCCCCCCCCCCCGGTCTCAGGCTCGATTCCTCCCTGGTCCATCCCCCCCCCCCCGGGCAGTGGCTCAGTGTTCAGCAGTCTCGGTATGCCCGTTTTGGACTTGGTGCTACGAACTTTTACATAATTCAGCTTGTTCATTTGAGACCTCAGTCTTCTCAGTAAACCACCTCGCAAGAATCTTTGCACGAACCCAGAGGTGCTTTAAGACAGCTTCTGACGCCTCTCGTTGTTTTCATTTTTCAAGGTTTGCCACGCCACCATGTGCGTTTGCGTGTCGCATCCTACGAATCTTGCCGGGCCTCTCGTTGTACACAAGCTACCCATGAATCCACTCTGTCACCGACCCATCTCATGCAAGAACTGCTAGCTTTCGTTCACCCGCTCCTCAAGTGTCATTCCGCAGCTGCTGGAAAAAGGGACACCACGAGAGGTAGGCTTCTAGGACCTTTCAGAGCTTGCCACGAGGTCTTTCGTGGGAGGCGTCCTTGCTTCTGTGGCTGTGGGTTAAAACCAACGGTACCATTTTGGGGTGAATTCACCACCCATTTTAGAACCTATTTTAGTGGGGGTTGGGATGTTCACTGGGGGCTAACCGGGCGTTTGACCCATGGCCATTCCAGGCCTTGGATTTGAGGTTTTTTTGTGCAGACCCATGCCGTCCAGGACCAGCTCATGGCCAGCAAGGCCAAAGAGAAACTTTGGCAAGAAGCCCTGGGGATTTTCCAGGCGGGATCGTTTGCCGTTGTAGGCTCACTTGGATTCCTGAGATTCTGGCTTTTAGACTTGTTGGGGAGAGCTGTTTAGTGGTGCGCAACAAGTTTGGACCTGTTTGGACCAATCTAATGAGAAATAGACAAACAGCTTGGATTATTGGGTTTGCCTTGTGGGCAATCGTTAGAGTTTCCTTTGGGATGATAGTTTCAACAGGGTACAAAGTACGAGGAGTCTTGTTGATGCTTTGCCTGTGCAGTCTGCCGATTGCTGTGCACTCTGGAAGCGCTTGCTGTGCACACTCAATGGGGATCCAGAGGCGGATCCGGCATCCAAAACCTCGATTTGAGTCAAGTTCCCTCGGAGAGGTCTATGGGGGCTCTCAAAAGAATCATTCGGGTCTCCCTAGCCCCCAGAAAAGTTCCCAGAGCTCTTCTGAGAACTCTTTCCAACAAGATTCTAATGATGGTTGCCTCTCTAGGTCCACCCGAACAAGTGTAGCATATCAGCGGACCTTGTTTATACTGCCTCATTGGAAAACACGTATGGCCAACCAAAAGAAGTGTAGGTTTCTCCCTCGCCGTATGCCGAGCTGGCAAAAGGACCACCCTGGCTTGGCCTTGGTTCAGCACTGCGCAGGAGGTGAAAGCAAGTGCGCGACCCGACATCGTGATGTACACCACGGCCCTGACTGCCTGCCGCAAAGCAGCGAAGTGGCAAGCTGCGCTGGTCACCCAGTTGCCCAGTGGCATCCTTTTTGATTTTTGGGGGAAGAGATCCCCTTCTCTTCACGGTTCTGGGGTTGTTGGTTTTGTTTTTCGTTTTGTTGGTTCTGCTCATTTTTCTGCTTGGGGGGTTGCAAAAACAAAGCTGGTTGCAACTAATACCAAGGGTTGCTCAAGCAGCAACCAAGAAAGCCCCCCCCCATCTTTTTTGCGAGGCCATATGGGGCTTCTGAGGCCATCTTGCAGGAAGCCCAAGAGGAGGCACTCGGGCGATGTTCGGCGCAATCAGTTGCACTTGATGGAAAGGCCTCATCGGAGGGATTTGGTTTGTGACCGATTTGGAGCCCCACGAAGGTTTGTACGTTGAACGGAACCCTCACTTCATTTGGTTTGTGACCGATTTAGGGCCCCATGAAGGTTTGTGAGTTGAACGGAACCCTCACTTCATGTGGTTTGTGACCGATTTAGGGCCCCATGAAGGTTTGTGCGTTGAACGGAACCCTCACTTCAGGTCGTGCTTTCGTAACATTTACCTGAATCGCGGTTCATTCACCGCTGGTTGAGGCCTCAGCGTTGACGTTGAGGCCCACAAGGTTGATGTTTGCGGGCGCATCCGAAGGGGAAGGCAACCGATGGATGCACAAGCAAAAAACAAGAACGACAACTCACTGGTTTCAGGGCAACATTGACTGCCAGTAGATGTTCAAACCGAATGATTCTGTTTCCGTGCGGCACTCTTTTCCCCAAGTTCAGCATTACCCCTCTGAGTCGCTTTTTGCTCAGTGGGTCCCCCATCAAATCCGTCACATAGAAACCCGCGATGGTTTTTTTGGTTTCCTCTGAACCCGACTTCCCAACCCCGCGCCTCGAAGACCAATCGAGGTGATAACTGACCTTCCACTACAACATTTCTCCAGTACAGTAAGTCAAATTGACATGTGGCCTACGTTGAACTAGCGGTTGCTACTTGAGACGGGGTGCGGGGATCCATAGTATCTCGGAAGCTTCAGAGAATCTGGGCACTATTAGTTGACCTTAGTGTTTGTTAGTTCGTCATGCAAGTCTGAAGCCGTCCCATTGATTGAAACAAACGAGCGGAATGGACACAGAGGCGGTTGCAACCTAGACATACGAATAACGCTGCCGGTGTCTGTACGTGTGTCGCGTGCAAAGCAGCATGGACCCGGCCAAAAGGGGATCTTCCAAGGTGCCCGCAAGTTGCAAAGTGGGATGAAACCTTAGGGGTAGTCCCACGGAAAAAAAGGGGGTCAAGCCCAAACAGGGTTAACTCCTTTGCTACCTTTTCTTCGGGCTGGTTGCGGTATGGCTTGGTGCTTTTGGCAAAGCAGAGGTGACCGCAGGGTTCAATTCACAGAAGGGATGAAAATGTCTATATATGCTCTATGTAGTTCCCTTTTCGGTGGTGAGTTTTTTCAATTGCCACAAGCAGTATGTGTAACGAGCTGGGTGCTTGCCGGCTTGCGATTCAGGCTTGCCCGAAGCTAGTGAGTTCCTTAAGGGGTGTTCTGAAGCTGGAAATTCAGCTGGTACTGGTACTTGTCTAGGTCCCCCAGTGTTGCCCTTTTACCTTTTTTGGGAGAGGGTTCCCCTACTAAAATAGACTGCAGGAAAAAAGGGTACCCTTGTTCTAACCACTTTACTGGAGGACCTAGACTATATTACGTCGATTTCCCCGGAGCACGTTGGCACACTGCAGGCCGAGGTCAATGTCACCACCTTCACGGCTGCCCTCAGCTGCTGTGGCAAGGCTGCCCAGTGGAAGCAGGCTGAGAATACGACTTCATCCTTGCACCTCTGACTGGACTAGATTGAGTTGACACGCGGCTACCAACTAACTAAGCAAAAGATCGAATATGTATGGTATGCTGAAAACTGGTCGGTGAGCACGCTGAGGAGTGGCAAGGCATCCTTGTTTTTTTTCTTTCCGCGAAGACCCCCCGAATCCTTGTCACGTGTCCATGTGTCAGATTGACCTCGTAGTCGCTTTGGAGTGGGCATCCTTCGAACATGGAAGGCCATGTTCTTCTTGGGACCACCTGGCACCCGGTTTGCTCCATGTTAGCTTGAGGGATGAAGCCCGACGAACGACGTCCCCACCTCGAGAAGAGTTAATCTAAGGGTCCGGGTTACGTTGGGGTTGTCTCCAGATCGGGTCAGATGTTTGTCTGGTAGTTTCACTTGACGCAGCCCCAAACAGATAGAAGGGTCTCCTCAAAAATTGGCACACCAGCTGGTTTGGTGGGTACCCTTATGAAGCATTCGATTCACCATAATGCCATCCATGTGCTGCTGGTTTTTTGCTTCGTATTGGTTTCAAGGGGAAATGGTCACTCGCAACACATTTTGTACGCACCTGAAGCAATCTCAAGTTTAGCTGTTTGTTGCGTGCCTGCTCACCTTGTCTGGGCAGGTGTCAGAGTGGGGCCACTTGAGCTGAGCCTAGGGGATAATAAAGTCGGAAATCCCTCGCCTCTATTCTACAACTTGAGAGGTAGCTTTGTTCATGCTTAAAAAATCTGGGCCCAGTTTTGCGGATGGTCACCAAAAGGAGGCAAGCACTAAACAAACCCTTTGGAGGGACGCCCAGCCCGATTGAGCTTGGTTCTTTGCCTGAGCACAACTTCTTTTTCACCGTGTCAAACCTTGGTGCAACACCCGCTGCCGCCCGCTGCCTGTTCCCTGCCCAGACCGCAGAACCTTTCTGACCAGAGCAAACGGGAGCTTGGAAAGCATTTTTGGTGCGTGTGCGCCCACTGACATGCGTGCATGCTTTGTTCATCTGATTTCATTCAAGACTGGGCTTGAGTAATCGGCAGTTTTACCGTCAAATGAGGACATGGGGTTTACAAGCCCTTAAATGTTGGAGACGGTCAAAGACATCAATGTTGACTGTCTCATGCAGACATAGTAGGAAAAAACAAGTCTTTGCTTGTTGTTTGGAGGCAAGTACCCTGTCACTCTCAAACATGGAAGCAAGAGGAAAATTGACTTTCCAAAACCTCCAAGTCACGTCCAATGCGAGGTGGCAAGGTACGATTGGGAGCTTTCTGCCTTCGGCAGGCTTTGCATGTACTCGGCTGCATGCAGAAGTGGCAGCTGCAGCCCAACGTTGTCACGTGTCTCAGCTGCCTTAACGTTGGAAATGGCGGATGGCCGCCTGTTTCTTTCCAGCCCCAGCGGATTGCCTTTGGGCCCAGTCAAAAGGTGCAATTCTGCTTCGGGAGTTGGGAAAAAGAGCGTTACTTGGTGTGTTTTCGCCTTGTTTGCGAGGGTTTCAACTCCACCCTTTTGTGGCAGTTTGCAATTTTCAGCACTCTCATGTGGGGAGCCCTGTGTGCCCCCCCCCATTTCACAGGGGCGCAGGATGCAGTACTTCAATACTCTGTGTCAAACAAGGTAGACAAATATGCGATATACGTGTATTTGCGCAGTATATGTTGAGTGTATCAGACGTGCCTTCCTCCTAACTCTTAGATGCATTAAGGATGGGTGCAGCCATCGACGCCTGCGGAAAGTCTCAGCAGTGGCAGCGTGCGACTTAGCTAGAACTTGCTTTCCAGGTTAGGCCCATGGGCTATTAGGCTACCCTGCTTGGCCGGGTGTGTGTCTTTTGGTACCTGTTCTTTGTTTAAAGCAAAGCCAAAGAGAAACGACCGAAGCCATTTGTCGTCGCTCGGACACATTAGGAGTCTGTCGAACTTGCCGATTCTCAGCAGGGCAATAAGCAGGGTTTGAGAAATGAACAAGTAAAGGTTTCCTCCAAGGAAACACAACCCGTTGGATTGTTGACTTTGGGACCTTCCTCAGAACCAGCAACAAGATTTGGTTGTTTCAACACAAACGAGAGGCTTTCCCTTGTCAAGCCTAAATCAATTTCGTCGGAGTCAGCCTCCCCCCCCCCCCCCTGCACCCCTCCCCCCCTCCCCTCCCCTCCCCCCCCCTCCCCCCGCCTCCCCCACAGAAACCCCAAGCAAAGGTGGCCGCCCTCTTTGCCGAGCTTTCGGAGAGATCCTTTCAGCCCAACGCGGTGGTCCTGAGCGCCGGCATCAGCGCGGCTTGGTCCTTCGATCTGCGGGTGGTCCAGCCTTCTTCTTGCCAGGCTTCCCGCCAGGGGTCCCTATATTTCCCCTTAAAACATCACCCCCACCAAGGGATACTCACCTTTCATGGACTTTTGGGTGGTTTTCAACATCACCTTTTTGGCCCACGAAAGGTGAGTATCCCTTGTTGGGGGGTGATGTTTTAAGGGGAAATATAGGGAGCCCTGTTCCCTCCAGGGTTCAAACTCTACTTCCCCTTTGTGTGACTTTAGGGCTACAACTATGTTCCCCCTGTTTGGATATAGACAGGATTTGTTGGGCCAATTTGAAGTGAGCTTTGTTTTAGTGGGACAGGGGTCCCAGCTCTTGTTCTACCAGGGTCGCTGAACTGGGAGTTTCTCCAAATTGTGCACCCTGGTTCGTACTGGGACCGATTCCCGTGTTGAGACACAGACTGGTTGTAAGCAAGAGAGAGGGAGAGACAGAGGTTGGGGACCGATTCCCATTTTGAGACACGGGTTGTAAGTCAGGGAGAAAGAGAGAGAGAGAGAGAGAATGCATTTTTTTTTGTCCAAGGGACTCTCATTTTGAGACGCAGGCTGGTTGTAAGTGAGAATAAGAGAGAGAGTGAGAGAGAGGGAGAGAGGGAGAGAGACAGCGATCTGTTTGGTCCAAGCGAGGCCGTCGAGAAGGCCGGTTGTTGGCAGCTTGCCCTCCGTCTCCTCCGAACTGCGGACGCGAGGGGCGCGAACGTTTGGGCGTACAACGCGGCCATCAGTGCCGCCTGATCCGCAGCTGGCATGGAGGGATTGATTGGTCGGTGCCCAAAAACAAATACTAACTAACCAAGCAGGCGGGCAAGCAAAGAAACAGACCCAGAATTGGGGCGTAGTGGGCGTTGTTAGCATTTCGTTCAACGCCAGAGGTAGAGTGGTTTCAATTGAAGTTGCTAGTGAAGCGACCAAAGTAACGTCATGATTTCCCTGCCAAGTGTATATGCAATCCTTCCACGGGTTTCGGAGACGTCACACACCCCTGGAATTGCTGTACATTGTAGCTCTATGTGGGGCTTGGACTTTCCCCGTGCCACATGGCTCGCTACAGTCAGGGTATAAGGGGCGCTCCCCTTTCAGTTTAAGAGATTGCCGGAGGGGCCAGAGGGGGTTTTTCTTTGTCTCCAAGGGCCGAACCCTGTTGTAGAATGACACTTGCCAACCTCGAAACGTACCTGGTGTGGAGGACGGACCCAAACAACAAATCAGGGGGCGTTGACGGTGAATCTCATGCCTCACTAAGCCCCAAAAAAGCATTGCAGCATTTAGCATGGCTTGAGAGCCTACCAGACCTTGCTGTATTGCACACACGGGATCATGTAAGGCATCGAGCGACCTCGTCTACGGGGGGCGTCGTGATCTCACCCATACCCCGTGAAAGGGTTGCTTTCAGGAACCCTTGGTTTTGATCTCTGATTGTTTGCTGGACCATTGTAGCTTTCAGGGGTTTCCCTTTTGCAAAGAGAGCGACAATGATATCTAAATAGGGGGCCCCCTCTTCTTGTACGTATCATTTGCGATGTTTTCAGAGGAGCGACCAAACAAAGCACCAGGGGTGCCCTGCTTGAGGACAAGCAGCTTCCAAATACGAGTGTGCCGATAACAGTTGACAACAACCCGCTGGGAAAAGGCGCATGCATTGCTAAATTATGAGAGGGTCACTGGATTTTCTCTGAATTGTGCATGAAGGACGGGTTGTTTAATTAAAATGAGATTTGGAGCGTGCTTATTGGTTCTTCCAGGGTGTCATTTGTCGAGGGTGTGCGTCTGCACGTACTGGTCTCTGTAGGCCGGCGCTTATTTTTAAGCCATTGTAGTTGACACGATATTGTGTTTGCTTCCCTTTGAAGAGGGGGGCCAGCGTCTTGTTGAATCAAAACTTACCCAACCCTGATCCTAGGCGTGCGGGCAAAGTGCGCGCTGGCAAGACGCCCTACTTTTGATGCGCGAGGCGGCTGAAGCTGCGGTTCGGGTGGACACCATTACGGCCAGTGCGGCCTCCGGGGCGTGCGACGCTCGGGTGTGGAGTCATAGGATTCCGACCCCCCCACCACCCGCTCATGACTGCGGAGATGCGAATTGTAGTTTTAGGTTGCCAGTGTCTGATACCAAGGAAGCCCCCTTTGAAGTGATACAGCAATCATTGCGATGCCCCGCGATACAGCCTGGCAGCGCTTCAATCATCCAAAGATCAGGGGCCGCAGCCAGCTCAATCAACTGCTGAACTGCAGGCAAGCGGCCATGAGGAAGTTGCCAAGCGAGTAGTTTCAGCGGAAACCCTGGACATTCTGGGTGAATTATTGTAATTCACCTCACTCGCAAGGTTTGTGGCTGGAGGCAAGATTTTCCAGAGGCCGACCCTCGTGCCCCAAGGTCGGTTGATGTCGGTTGCGTGATGTGTTTGAGTTTCTTCAAAAGCAACCCGGGTGAGGGAAGTCGGGTTGAGCAGAACGCAGTTGCCTAAAGTCCACCAGTCTCCAATTCAGAATCACACCCAAATTGGCGCTGACCCTTGATTCCCCGAAGTGTTTGTCCCTTTGGTTCGGGATCCGCTCAATTCTGACGAAAGTGGGGGGAGCTGAGGAGAAGGCCAGTGCATGGCATGCCGCGCTACAGCTGCTACATGTTCTACCTCATGCCTCCGTGGATGCCAATGCCGCTCTGGCGCCTAATTTTTGGCCGATGGCTTTGAAAGCGTGGATGGTCCCCAATTTGACTTGTTTACTTTGTTGTTTCGGCCTGGCATGACCGCTTTGTTTCGACGTGAAGCCAGTTCAGCCTCGTCACAAAGTGAAGATCTCGTCACGTCCAACTTCGTGCGAAAATGCTATCATCATACGGTCATATGCACGGTCCGGTCCATGAGTCCATTGGAGGACTCCCTACATTTTAGATACTTATTTTCTTGGAGGTACAAGGTACACGGTGGACTCTCTAGATTTCCCGCAAATATTAGGGGACTTACCAATTCTACATGGGGGACACTAGCTCTCCGGCTCATACCAGGGCAATCACAGACTGACTGATTTTCTGAGAGGCACAAGGACAACTTTCTGAATCTTTTGCATATGCCAGGGGGGTCGCCAATGTTATGGGAGGTACGTGGGGGGACTCACACATTTGCCTATAATCACAATGGGAATTAACATATTTGGAGAGGTACATGAGCAACACCAGATCTCCCGCACATGGCAGGGGACTAACCAATCCTTTGAGAGGTAGCTGGCTGAATGCTGCACAACTGCCACGGTCCATGCTGATTTGCAGGGGATGTCGGGTCCATCAACTATTATATGTCAGGGTCGCTTGATACTGGGTTTAGAAGGGATGGTCATGGACCCATTGAACAGGGAAAAGAGACAACCATCACAATGATCCCTCTTAAGGGCTTTGACTGACCATCAATCATGGCGCTTTGACCCCTCCCTGTCGGTGTCTTGGGCGGTTGGTTGCTGTTTGCAGTCAGCATTGTGTACCGGAGCCTTTTTGGGCTGAGTAGGGATGGTCGCGAACTGTTCCAGGACTTTAGACAACCGGTTTTACCACGGCACACACCCATTCTCATTACACTCCCTCAGGCTAGCATGGAAGCTCCCAGAAGGCCTCTGCAAATGGAACCAAGTCTTCCAAAGAATTCCCGGGAGCTTCCATGTTAGCCTGGGGGAGGCATGACCCTCTTGTCATTAACATGGAACCTGCCTAAGGGGTCCTGGAAGACGATTTTCCTTTTTAAGGGACCCTCTGGTGGGTTCCATGTTAAAGGACGGGAGGGTACTTGGCCCTTTCAGCACCGGAACTCTGGCAGTTTGGGCTGCCCAACTTCCTTCAGGTGGTGACCTACAGTTCTGCAGTCAGTGCCTGCGAGAAGCAACTCGCCCGGATCGAGACCTTCGAACCTAGTCCCTTCAGGTTAGGGGATTTGTTTCGGTGTCCCATGTTTCAGACAGTTTTAAGTCGGTTTTCCAGTTGGTTTCCCATGTTTCAGTTAGTTTTAAGCTGGGTTTTTCCAGTTCGGTTCCGAGTTTTGCAGTGTTGGAACCTCCAATTTGTCCAGTGGTTTTCAGTCGTCCAGCTGCTCGTCCCAGTTTCCCGCCGGCCCCGCAAATTAAAGCGAGAGCCTTTCAGCATTGGTCCAGGTTTTTTTCCCCATGACACGGTGATTGCTCCTCCCCCTGAAAAGGTTCAACTGAAGAAAGTATGTTTCTAGTGTCACTGGGCTTTCTTTTGTTTGATTCATTTTTCGGCCCCTGAGGCAATCGCGCTGGCGATTTGCCAGCTGTTTGCTGGCCCTGGCCCAAGGCAGAGGGGGGCGTCAGATCTTTTTTGGCCCGTTTCTTGTTTGCTCGTTTGGTTTTGTTTGCTTCGAGCAGGGCTGAAACTGGAAAGGCCTAGCTGCCTAGCTGTTTGGCTAACACCCCGGGCTTGGGAGCCGCATTGATTTCTGGGCGAACCGCCTTGTCAGTTCGGAGATCCTTGTCCCACTTGCGAACCAGGGACCGGCTTGCAAACGAGGTTCGTGAGAAATATGCATGGTCAATTGGCTCAGGATGGGGACTCACTAAGTTTCAACCAGGACGAAGCCTAGCCTTCCCAAATATTTACGGCTCCCATGTTTGACCGACTCCCAACTCAAAGAGTCGGCACCTTTCAGGGACGCCTGGTTCACACTCTCATGAGTCGTGAGGATCCCAATGCCCTGAGATTCGGGGACTGACCGCGCGGTTTTTGTAGACTGCCACAAAAGGCAAAATGTGGTGACTGCAGACTGCAGGTGTTCTCTTTGGAGGTATGCCAAACTGCTCCCAAGAAAGGAGGCAGGGCTCCCTCATATCATGGCCTATGCTTCAGTGGATCTTCCTGGTGGGTTCGGGAAACCACTAAAACTGGAGCCAATCCACCAAAAGTTGCTCCAGGTTCCTTTCAGTGCACCTTCGAAGCCCGAAGTCCCTTTTGGGTTCCCCACAGGTGGTCATTCTTTGCCGTTCGGGCCAGTGGTTGCATTGGTCACCCTTAGAACGCCAACTCTCTCGTTCCGGTTTCTCTCTCTAGCCCCCCCCCCAAAAAAAAGGGCCAACTCTGGGGTTCTTCCGGTGTCTCCCTCTAACCCCCCAACAAAAATCAAGCCCCAGGCACCCGGCCGGCCCGCGCACTGAAGCTTTCGCCCGCCAACGTGCCTCCCGCCGAGCGAGGCGCACGCCTGGGGGACGTGATTCTGCACGGCGCCAGCGTCAGCAGCTGCCAGAAATCCAACGAATGGCGCTGGGCAGTGCAAGGCGTGGGACGAATCCTAAAAGCAAACCAAAAAGGGGATGGATGAGTTCTGCGTTGTTCCGGACCCCATTTTTAGCACCCAGATGGCTGGGTCAAAACCACTGGGATCCCATTTTGGTTGGTAGGTGCACCCATTTTAGAACCTATTTGAGTGGTTGGATTGGGTGCCGTACGAAAGAGAAGTTTGACCCAGATGTCCTTCATTTGGAAGAGCCTTTGTGGTTCCCCGCATTTTTGGCATGGACACGCTGGGTGTCGCCTGTCTGTGGCCGAGCCTGCAGGTTTGGCCCGGCTCCCACAGCTGGGCCTCGTGCCAGATCTGGTGGTCCAGAATGCCGGCATCAGCGCCTTGAGAGATAAGCTGCTCTTGGGTTGGAGAACCGGCAGCTGACATGTTTCTTTGCTTCTTTGTAGGCAAGCAACACCCATTCAGCTTTGAATCCGTAGGGGTTGGACCTTTTTAGCTAGGGGCAAAGGGTGCTTTCCCAACGAACCGGCAGTTGACAGGTTGTTTTGTTTGGGTCTGTGGCGCAGGCAACAGCCATTCAGCTTTGAATGATCGCTTTCCTTGTAGGTTTCCTCCTTGCCATCCGGATTGGCCTCACCCCGAGTGTCAGACAGACCCACTCGGCTGCAGCGCCACGTTTGGGAAGCTGCGCGAAGCGTGCTTGAAGGAAAGGTGTTGCAAGGCCACCGTCGACTCAGGTCTCGAACGTGAGTGGACAATTTCGTTCAGAAATGCGCGCGCGCACACACACACACACCACACACACACACACACACACATTCATTGACATGGCCTCAAACACTCGGCTTGTCATGCGAGAAACCCGTTGCTTATTTGAGCCCAGAAACCAAAGGATAGAGTAGGGATCAGATGCACAGCCTGCGACAGATGGGTGTTTGTTTGCCCTGGCAGGGCTCAGCATTTTCAAGATGGCTGTGGGTCAAAACCAATGGTACCATTTTGGGGTAGGTGCACCACCCAGTTTAGGACCTATTTTAGTGGGGATTGGGATGTTCTCTGGGGGTACGGGATTTTGACCCATGGCCAAATCGGAACTCGGAACGGACCTCAGGTGCTTGTGATGACTGGAGACGCTCGCTGGCGCTGATGCCCCGCACCTCCGCGAGAAGTCGCAGGAACCTGGTGACGTACAGCTCCGCTCTCACAGGAAAGGCGACGCGGCATGTATTTGCTTGCGTGCTTGCTCGCTCGCTCGCTGGTTTGCTTGCTTTCTTGCTGTATGTTTGTCTTTATTGCTTGATTGTGTTCTTCCGTTATTTCCTTTGTGTGTCTTTCTTTTCTTGTTTAGTTATTTCTTTCTGTATTTCGTTCTGTTGTTTGTCTTTGCCAATTCATTTCTGTCTGTCTTCTGTGTTGCTATCTGGTTTTCTTTGTTGCTTTCTTTAGTTGATTATTGTTTTATTGTTTTCATGGTTGTTCTTTCATTGTTGCTTTTGTTATTGCTTTATTTCTTTCCTTCTTTCCTTTTGTTCTTCCTTTCTTTCTTTCGCTTCAACACCTATATGTCGGTGGCCTTCAAGCGATTTGGAGGCTATTCCTCAAGGTGATTGGTTGACGTGCTTTGAGGTTGACATTTCAACTAATGCCGTGAGCGGTGGGATTCATGTCTCAGCCTACGCACTTGGAGCACGCATAGATCAGGAAGAGAAAAGCTACGCCACCCCCCAAAGCCACCCCCCCCGAATGAAATAAGCACCAACCCTGCGCAGCCAAGCAGCGTGAAGGGGAATAAGCCTTGTTAAGCCTTATTAAGCCTTGTTAAGCCTTGTTGAGCCTTGTTATGCCTTGTTAAGCCTTTTCAGCCTTGTTTACTGGTTTTCGAATGCGGCTTAATAAGACTTAGTCCATCATCACACCGCAACGCATGATGTAGCGCAATCTAGAGGCCCCCCCCCCAAAAAAAAAAGGTGAGAGCTGACGCGGTCCCACAAAAAGAGGCCCCGGGGTGCGTGGTCAAGCCTTATTTTATTTTATGTATGTATTTATTCATTTTGGTGCGGCGCGTCCCCGGAACACGTGTCATCTCACTCTCTCATGATTCCTGAAACCTCAGTCAGTTGAGAAGGAGCGTCTAGCCCTTTTTTTCGGGGGGCGGGGGGGGGGCTGGTAGCTTTGGGGGGGGGTACCTTATCACTACCTGAATAGAGCTAAGGCATTCAAACCCTTTAATTAGTTTCTGGAACAAACGACAGGTAGCTGCATGGGCCGACGCAAAACGGAGTCAGGGAGCCCTGGGACAATACTTTCCAGAGGTTCCCGAAAGTTTTGACGCGTAAAATCTGGCTGCAGCCTGATGGGAAAGCTTTTTTGGGCACTGATCATGGTTTTCAGGACTCCCCCCCCTCTTTGTGAGCATTTTTTCACAGGGAAACCACGGCAACAAAGTCAGTTGAACATACTGGGCTATTCATAACCAATCCTCGAACCTTGCGCCATTCCCTTGTTGTACTGGCTTCAAAGGAAACCATCCACCAACCCTTGATGGGGTTGCAAGAAAGCTCTCTTTGTGAGTTTGTGAGTATGTTCAACCACCAACCCATCGAAAAGGAAACCACCCTCCCATCAACATGCAACCCGACTGGGCGGGCGGTGAAAGACCACTATCCAAAAGAGAACCTGCTGGTGGGTCCCTCCTCCAAATAGGGTACCACCCAAAATGCGTGGTTTCCTTTTGGCTTCCCATTGACACGTCGCGCGAGGTGCACTGGCGCCACTCCCTGCAGCTGCTGGCGGAGCTGAGGCCAACGTCCCGTTGAATTGGTTGCGACCAGAAAATGGGACCCATGAATGATCCCCCGTGTTGAAAATACGCTGGGTTGGCTTGGGCCTTGTTTTGTCAATCAAAAGCTGCGACTGTTTTGCACGGATGCATGAACCTGCTCCAAGGTGGAACTGGTTGACTGGCAAAGAAAGCCTGGCCTGTCCAATCACGCTGCGGAATGGCCAACTGTAGGGCGAAAACTGTGCTGAGGGGGCAACATGATCACAAATCACAATAGACTCATCCGGGGAAAACGAGATCACCCATAGCAAGGTCCCTTACTTGGAAATTCCTGCTTTCAGTTTTGCGCACCATTTCATTGTGCCTCGAAATGATCAACCCCTTAGTTCGGGAAAGGCGAATAGACCATGGTCTCATGTTCTCCCGTTGAGCCTTTTGGGTTCCTTGTAAAGGGCCCCGACGTCATTGAAAACCCTTTTGCTAGTTAGGAGCCCTTCGTTTTCAATGCTGGATTCCCTATGTCAACCCGCGAACCATGCTAAATTGCATGGACTTCCCTGTTGCTATACTACAGCGGGCTCAGTGGTTTACATGATTACGAATGATTACTCACGTGTCTATCACCATGACTAACCGGTTTTAAAGCGCCCAATTCTACTTGTTGAGTCCCTCAATGGCCACTCGCCAGGTCGAGAGGCTTGGAAGCTGCGCCCATCGTCTACACCTCGATCATGAACAGCTTGTCGAATCGCTGGCAGCACGCGGTTTACCTGACGACGGCCACTGAGCTGGACACCGTCGCGTACAATGCCGCGACCAACGCAGCTGGGCGCAGTTGGCGTGTGCAATTGGCGTGCGCTGATTCGAGTGGGTGCTTTTTGATTGGGTCGAAGTACCCTCCACCTCTTTGAACACGCTAGCGATTTCCTGCCAAGGAACAAGCAACTCAACCGTTTGGACAGAGAGCAACAACCAAGTTGAGACAATGAATCGACAAGTGAACGTGATGCGGAGCAAGAAGGGAAACAGGCATGAGTCAACATGGCGCAGAGGCGTGTCAACCCCGCACCCCGCACCGTTGTATCCACAAGCCAAGTTGCTGGTTCAGGGAATCACCGGGTGTGGGAATACCACAAGGGGATGGTTCATCCCGCCATTCCCTCATTCCCTGAAATCTAGGCCATTTTGCTGCGAGGGCAGCCTAAGCAGGAGTCCGAATCAACAGTTGTGGTCCTCATGCTTCCTTTGCAGAGGGATGTTGGGGACTCATCAGATGTTCCACGAAAAATACGGGGGGCTCACTAGTTGTCCTGTGCCCTGTTGAGGAGACCAGTAACTGGGTCCCCCAGTAGTGCCTTTTTACCCTCTTTTGGGGGAGGGTTCCCCTACTAAAATAGACTACAGAAAAAAGTTGGTACCCGTATTCTACCTTCTCTACTGGAGGGCCTAGCAAATGTGTAAATGTGTCAGTCCAGGTTTGCCGACTTGCAGCCCAGTGGCTGCAAGCGCTCTTCTTGGCGAGGCGGCTGCAGGACGGGCTGCCTTTGACGTCCCTTTGCCGTGGAGGGAGGGGCACGGGAGAACTCACGGAAAATCGGACCCGCTTTTGTCAAAGGGAAGCCAGAAGCAAAGCAACCTTTGCGGGGGGTCCCCTAGTTCCACCACCCGAATGGAGAACCTGCCAAACGGAGGTTTTCCCTCAAGGCCCTTGAGTTCTCCTTTGAAACAAACCAATGACGGTGTTGGCCATCAGCCTCTTTACCCGCCCACCCCTGACAGCCTAAACCTTAGGGTGGCAGAGCCCAAAAACGGGCGTTGAGCGCGCATTGGTTTTGCCAGCCGCAAAGTTCCTGGAGTTTCTTGAGTGGTCTTTTTGCCCAAGATGGTGCTCACCCCTCAACCACTCTACAGAGAACATGGCGTGTATAACTATATAACAATGACAGAGCCACCGTCAAGTGAGTTCAATTGGGCATGGGTGGATGATAAAGAGCACCCACTAATCACAGAAAGGGCCTGTCCAGTTTCCACAACCCAGTTGTTCAGCACCCGTCCCTTTTTGTTTGAGTTCCCTGCCAAAAATCGTAAGCCAACCAAAGCGAGTTCCAAGCTGTTTTCTTCTTCTTCTTCGACCCTTAGCTCGCTGATTGCGGAGGACCATGAGAAGCGGAGATAAAGCATCAGACTTGAGCCGGGGGTGCATGGCCATGAATATCCCATTTCAGCCAGAATCAAAACATATCAAAACCTGGGTAGATGAGGGTTTGGGAACTGTCCGTGCGATAGGTGTGGCCCGGTCACCCTCTTGATTCTGTACATTGGTTGGGGTAGACCCCGTTAACATACCTGGTATTGATTGCAACCCAACCCCTCCTTCTCTCATTTGGTACCGAGCGTACCGAGCGTGGCTCTCATCGGTGCCTTCCAGGAACTCAAACTGAACCTCTTTTGGAGGGTTGGGCCAAACCCCTGCACCATGTTTAACCATTTTCAGGGATTAAGCAATCTTTGGGTTTCCCTAAGGGGTGCTAGGAGTTTGGTTGTAGCCAATTTCACCCCATGGGTCCTGCAGGACCAACGTCTTCAGCCCAGCCTCCTGGTCTTCGGTTGGGCCTTCTCGGCCTCTGCGACCACGGACTGGCGCCTTGGCGAGAACCAGAGGTTGCACTGGGGGGTCGTTCAAAGGGAAACCGAAAGGAAAGCCGCGGTTTTGGGGGGGGGTCGGGCACAAGAGTACAGATACCCATGGCGACACGAGTCATGGGAAAACCGCGCCCGTTTGAAAACCGCGTGGGACATGTTTGAGTAGAGGGGGCTACACGATGTGCAGATTGCGGCGAGGCTGCTACAAATCTTTACGCCATCTTGGTAGAACCAAAAGGCGGTGGACTTTGGAGGGGGCGCAAGGACCAACCCAGGGCAAGAACGGACCAACTGAATCAGGGTGTTTCTTCCCAGCCACCGGGCAACTGCGGTAGGACTTTGAGGCATGCATGATGATACCATCCCCGACCCCCCGAAGAATGATGTATGGAAGGAGTGTACTGGGCTCCAATTCTTGATTTGGAATGCCCCCCATCCTCCAAATACCCGAATAGGGGTTTTCTTTTGGCTCACCGACCTTCACCAAGAGTTGTCATGTTTGAGGGTGTCCTTTATTTGGGTTGCTTCAAATGGACCCCAAATGGAATCTAGACCGCGTTTTGGGGCACTTAGAAGTGCAACATGACGTTTGTGTTTTGCTTTTGCCCACTAGAGGCTTGACCAACCCACTGGCAAAGCGGCTATGATTGTTGGGGAATCCCCTCCCAAATGGTGTCCTGTGCAAATTTATTGTGTGAACGATGTCCACCCAAAAGTCCCAAATTCAATTTACCCACGACACAATGCTGTGGCTGAGGAAGTCGGCCTCACCTTTGGCAGATGAGATGGAGTCGCTTTTGCGCGCCTCCCTCGACAAAGTCCGGTTTGCTCGCGGGCGCATGCGGGGGGTTGCGGCTCCAAAGAGCCTGGTTCCGGCCTCTCCCCAACGGCAGCCCGGGGTGAGGTTCCAGGTCTCTCTTGGGGATTCTCCCTCGGCTTATATTTGCAGCTTCAACATCAAGAAGCCCAAAAGAGGGTGTCCTGGGTGAATATCTCATGCAAAGACCCCTTGTTTTGGGATGGTGTTCGAAGGCGAGCCACAGAGCAAGTCGCCTGATTTGTGCACGAGCAATTAAAGCGAGGTGTCGGCGTGTGAGCTGAGATCTCGTGATGCAGAGAGTCAAACCCCAGGATGGGTGGGGGTGGGTAGATTTATGTACTCCAATGAATTTGTGAACATCCCTACTTACCCCAGGAAGAGTTGATGACCATCCCCAACCACGGAATGGCGTTGACAACCTTTCCTAACTTAGGGGGGCCAACAGGTTTGCAGCGAGCAATCCGAAGTGCCCATGTTCATGTTCGCCTTGGCCTGACCTGCCCATCTTCCTCTCGCAGGCTTTGTTTCAACAGCACCCGCAGAACAGTAGCCCTTCTTGTTCAGTGACACGCTTCAAATCGTTGTTGTTTTTTTTAAGAAAATGGTGGCCCACTAAAGCCCCTCAAAGGCTTCGCTTTGTCTCCGGGGGTTACTGGGCAGCTGGAATAGGAGGAGGCTGCTCCGGTCGCTCACGAAGAGGAAGGGCATTTCGAGGCTCGTTGTCCGCACTGTGTTGGCTCAGGCGCTTGGACAAGGTGATTCGAAACGCGAAAGTTGATAGTGTCATCCCCTTGGATTGGCTCAGCTCGAGAATCGAGACAGGACAGATGAGTCCCATCTTCCTTTCACGTCACAGAGTCAGGTCTCACTTGTGATGCACTCATAGTAAAGCAACCCTCATGGCCAAAGCTCATTTGCTGCCTGACAGAAACCTGCACCAACAGAACTCACCTCGCGGCTCCCTTTGCAGCTCGGGCGCGCGTCGGCTCGGGCGCGCGTTTGCGCGCGCGCGTTTGCGCACACCGCGGGCCACGGCGGTGGCGGCGAAGCCGGGGCTCGCGCACATCACTCGGCTCATCGGCCATGGCGGGTGGCGGAGCGCTTTGCAGCTGCTGCAGGAGAAAGTCGGGAATATGCTTGGACAAGCACCTGAGGATTCACCCAAAATGGACACATCCAACTCACAGTAGGTGAATTGCCGGCAATCGGCCTTGGGCAAGAGGTGGGTTGCCTCGACTCTTGAAAAGTCAGCTAATCACAATCCAGAATCCTTATCGGTTGACATTTCATTACGAAGGGGGCTGAAGAGGTCATTCTTAATCCAAAAAGGGATCTTGCTCATGGCGGCTTGCACCCCAGCAGGAGAATCCTTTAGGGATGAATGCTTGATTTGTTCTCCCGGTCCGGGGTTATGTGTCTAAAGGGTTACAAGATACATAGCCCCCCCTTTAGCTAAAATACAGAGGGGGGGGCCACACCTAAAGTACAGAAATTCCGTGTACTTTTTTGGGCGCCCTATACAGGCCTATAATGGTAGCCGCACATGCGGCTGCACATGGCTGATCATGGCTGTAACTCCAAGCTTACAATGTGGGCAATTGTGGGATATTGCGGATGTTTGGTGGACACTCAGTCCTCCATCCAAGACATTCCGCGTCATTCCGCGAGTCACCCGCCAGTCACAGTCCACGACAGTCCTATCACTGCAATTCAGCACGAATCTTTCAAGCCAACAGTCATCGGCAGTCAGTTCGCCAGCATTCGCACATATTCGCACCCCATCAGCAGCTGCAGCGCGTTTCGGCTTATGAATGTCGAGCACTTGTGCTCCGGCGAAAACAGTCCTGCGCTCAGTGATGGCTCGGGACGGCCTGTGAGACTTGGGGAATCTTGGGGCCATGGTCGGTGGATGTCATGTGGATGTCGGTGGCATACATTTGAGCATCGTTTGAGAAGCGGTAGACCATGGTAGAACAAGGTTGATATATTTTGATATTTTGCTGATGAACATTTGATGACACTGACATTTTGATGAAGAACATTTGACTAAAATTGCATGTGATTCGCAGGCGCTTTTTTCCGCGCAGCTTTTGCTCATTTTGGATCATTTAGGCTCCTCATTGTCCGCCAGATTCCGCCAGTCATCATCCATCATCATCCAGTCATCGCCAGTCGCCATGGCATCTTGGTGCATGCTCTGCGCCTCCGCGCTGGCTGATGCTGGCTTCTGGTGCGACAGGGGCCACGCGATGCACAAGTGGTGCTACGATCGCGTTGGGAGTGCCTGGGGCAGCATCAGAGGGAGACGGGGAGAACGTGGGCGTGAAGTGGAGCCGGGAAAAGGGATGTGGAATGCAGTGGAAATGATATGGACATGATTATGAAATGCTTTGATATGGGCATGATGGTTGATGATGGCTGAGACATGCTGAGACTGCCTGCATATGGGGAGGTTGGCGCATTATATGGTGATATATATATATATATATATGTGACTTATGGTGTGCTGCATATTGCTGCATTGTGTTGCGTTATGGGAAGTTATGGGGGGTTTCGAGATGTTTCAAGCAGCTCCTTGATGCTCCGTGTGAATTTGGCTTCAGGCTCGCGGTGGCTCACGCTGGCTCAGAGTCACTGGCTGTCAATGGCTGTCACCACGCTGTCATGATGTTTATCCCATTTTATCCCGCTTGATTTCATATGACTTCATTTGACTTGGTTTCATTTCGGAAATACTGAGTAACACCCAGGATAGTCCCGCAGGCTCTGGCGGCACATCTGGCTGGAGAGCCACAACTGGTAGCTTTGCCCGCACAGCATGACGTTTGCCATGATTTGTGGTTGTAGTTTGATCTTTGATGATGTTTGGAATAGTTTGGGTGACGTTTGGATGATCTTGCGATGGCTCAGTGATGACATGTGATGAATTGCGATGACCTTGCGATAGGTGCCCAGCTTGCGCGGTGGAGGCCAGTCGCAGCGAGTACTTGCGGGCCTGGCCTGGGGCGGTGTTGCTGGTGGCCTTTGGGTTTCGCCGGCTGTACACGAGCGAGGACGGGTGTGTGCAACAATGTGAAACATCATTCATTTGGATGTGGGGACATTATGGGGCATTATGGGACATTGGGAGATGTTGGGAGAGCTCGGGAGACTTTAGCGATTGGCGGATTTTGGCATGAGTGCGACACAATTGCGACACAGTGTGATGTTGTGTGAGTTAAGATATGTCAAGTTGACGAAGTCACACGAGTTTGGAATCTTGATGCGTAATCTATACTGGCACGGGCTCTCCCACTGGAGCCATTTGGAGACATTTGGAGACATTTGGAGCCCCATGGAGCCCCCATGTGTGATGTTGTGTGTTTTCAAATGTTTTCAAGATCACGAGAACTTGATGATGCGTATGGGTGAGATGAGAGGAGGTGCGAGAGGGTGACCGATGGTGAACATATGTGAACATTGCAGGAGGAGGACCCAGCCAGGCTGGCAGTCACCATGGGGGAAGACCTGGGCCGGACAGTCGAGATCCACGACCTGCAGCCATGTAATGAGATAGCGTATGAATGCGATTGAATGCGTATGATATCATATGATACCATGATGACTTCATGAGATACCATGCAAGAGGCCTGTGCATTTTGTTGCGATGCCACGAAATGCAATCCCGTTCCCCCCCCCCCCCCAATGTCCATCCAATGTCTCCCCATTCTCCCCCATCTCCCCCCCCTCCCTGCTAAAAAAGCACTGGTTTTTAGAATGTTTTTAGATGTTTTTAGTAATATGGTCCCCCGGTTTTTGGCCAGAGCATGCCAGAGCCGCTTCAGACATTTTCAGACAGCGCATGATACGCGTATGAGTCAGAACTTGTAAAGGGAGGCTCCTTGGCATTCCTTGGCATTCCTTGGCATTTCCTTGGCTGTTTAAAGAAGAAACCTAATAATAAAAAAACATCAAAACATGTGCAAACCATGGCAAGCCGTTTTTTGTCTTCAAAAGAGACCTTATGAAGGGCACCTAAATGCACCTAATGGAGATTAATGGAGGCCCCATCCTTCGGTGGCCCCATGTGGCCCCAAATCATCGCATCTGGGGATATGTGGAGTTCTGGGGAGCTTGGCTGAATTTGGCTGAGTTGATAGTTGATCTGTTCTCATATGGTTTTATCATGTTTCATTTGGCTTCTAGAGAATTCTAGAGAGTTTAAATGAGTTTAATATTGACAGAGTATTTTGCTATGTTTGGATATTTTTGGGGTCGGCTGGAGATGGCTGGAGGTTGTGTTTTCATTGTTTTTTATTCGTTATTATCGGGGTCCGTCATGGGGGTTTGACGAAGCTGGTATATGTTGGTGCAATCTTGTCATATCTGGTCTATGTTCGTGTGACGTTATGCTTCTTTGTGGTTTTGAGCGCCTCTAAATGCTTCTAAGAAACAGCTGGGTGGGCACTTGAGTGCACTCGAGGGCATCTTCAGGATTCTTGAGTGCCAGCTGAGGCGGCCTTTCTTGCCCAACCCGCAGCCGTCGTGGTCAGACACAGCCGTCTTTGCGTAATGTGTGGATATGTGTGGCTCATTGTGGTTTACGTTGGCTTGGTTGACATGAGGTTGACATGATGTTGACATGCCCTATTTATTGCGCGCTGAACTGTGCTGATCACATGCTGCTCACATCTGCTCAAAATTGATTACGACTGAATATATCTGAATATCGCCAAGATCTGCCAGGCCACGCATAGCCTTGCCAGCTTGCTTCCTACTGCTTGCTTCCCCGAAAGTTTCCACATGCTTCAATCGTGTTTCATATTGCTTCATCAGGATTCCGCAGTTTGCAGGATTTTGGAAGTGGCTCGTAGCACCCTGGCATGTGGCAGGCATTCGTCTAAATTGTATCAAAGCTCATCAAGCCTGCATTTGATCTACGTTTGCTTTCACGATCCACACATATAGCCACACCTCCTCAGTCTCAGTATGATCTAGCTGTATGTCTTGTTCAGTTTTTGTGTGTCTTTTTTCATGTCGCATTTTTGCACTGTCAGCATACTGTCAGCTTCTGTGCGATTTCAGGGCCAAGGCAGCCGTGGCCGCAGTCAGCCGCCGTATATGCCGCCGTCCTCACACCGCGGCAGTCCAGAGATGGAGAGCGCCTGGGCTTGCAAGAGACTGCAATCCTTTGCCAGGCTTCTGTTGGATTCTGTCGGCATCATGCGATATCATGCGTTTCATATCATCGCACCATACTCTAGCGTATTCCGAGCGCGCGACCCCGGGAGGAGGAAGGAAGGAAGACTATGGGAAGAGGACGGAAATGGACGGAAGACAGGATGGAAGACTACGGGAATTTACGGGAAGACCCGGGAAGACTACGAGAATCTACGAGAAGTGGACGGAAGACAGATCAAGACAGGACGGAAGACTACGTGAATCTACAGGAAGAGGACGGAAGACCACAGGAAGACGCGCGCGCTCGCTCGGGGTCCTCGGGAAGACTACGAGAAGAGGACGGAAGACAGGACGGAAGACTACGTGAATCTACGGAAAGAGGCCGGAAGACTACGGGAAACTACGCACAGACCCCGAGCGCGCGCGCGCGTGCAGACCGAGCGCGCGCGCACGAAGGGAAAACTACGAGAAGAGGACGGGAGCCTGGATGCAAGACTACGTGAATCATCGTGAATCTACGGGAAAAGGATGGAAAAGGCCGGAAGACTACGGGAAACCACGCGCAGACCCCGAGCGCGCGAGCGCGCGCGGAGACCCCGGGAACACTACGAGAAGAAGACGGGAGACTGGACGCAAAACAAAAAACGTGAAACTACGGGAACAGGCCGGAAGACTACGGGAAACCACGCACAGACCCCGAGCGCGAGCGCGCGCTCGGGGTGGCGCGCGAGCGCGCGCGCCTCGCGCTCGCAGTCCCAAGGAAGACTACGAGAAGAGGACGGGAGATGACGGGAGACTGGACGCAAGACTACGTGAATCTACGGGAAGAGGCCGGAAGACTACGGGAAACCACGCACAGACCCCGAGCGCGCGCGAGCGCGCGCGTGCAGACCGAGCGCGTGCGCACGAAGGGAAGACTACGAGAAGAGGACGGGAGACTGGACGCAAGACTACGTGAATCTACGTGAATCTACGTGAAAAGGCCGGAAGACTACGGAAAACCACGCGCAGACCCCGAGCGCGCGCGAGCGCGCGCGCGAATCTACGGAAGAGGCCGGAAGACTACGGGAAACCACGCACAGACCCCGAGCGCGCGCGAGCGCGCGCGCACACCTCGAGCGCGCGAGCGCGCGCGCAGACCCTGGGAAGACTACGAGAAGAGGACAGGAGACTGGACGCGAGACTACGTGAATCTACGGGAAGAGGCCGGAAGACTACGGGAAACCACGCACAGACCCCGAGCGCGCGCGAGCGCGCGCGCACACCCCGAGCGCGCGAGCGCGCGCGGGGCTCGGGGCGAGCGCGCGCGCAGACCCGGGAAGACTACGAGAATCTACGAGAAGAGGACGGGAGACTGGACGTAAGACTACGTGAATCTACGGGAAGAGGCCGGAAGACATCGGAAGACATTCGGAAGACCACGGGAAACCACATGGAAACCACATAGCCGCGCACAGACCCACACACGCACACACACACACACACACGGCGCTCACGAGATCTCACCAGCGCGCGGCGAGCGCACGCAACATCACGCAACGCACACAGGCCAGCCAAAATGACGCATTGGATCGCATTGGGATTATTTAGGATTGCATCGGGATATAGATCGGGATGCATCGGGGGCATATGGAGATATATGGAGAGTATATGGAGGCATGCTCACAGAATGCAAAATTGGAAATATGATGATGATATGAGGACATTTGCCCATCATCTGCCCCATTCTGCCACAAACTACAAGGCGTAACGACAAATGAACTCAATATCAACATAATACATACATAATTCGACTCACATCAACGCACACAGGGCTATACATGGGCTATACTATGGCTAGACTGGCGAATGTGTAATGATAGCTCTTGGATATACTTAGATTATCTTGGATTGCCTTGTCCAAACATTTTCAAATATGTTCAAACTATGTACAAATATGTGCAAACTCATTCACAATTTATATGTTTTCGCACGTTTTCATCGGGATGGATGTTAACAACATGTGAATAACATATAATAATATATGTAAGTGGCTTTCTTCAGCGAATCAGCACGATATAGCACGATGCAGCGCTTTTGCATGCTTTTGCGAACTTTTGCAGTGCCTTGGCAGGTTGGCCAAAGTGAAGAAGAATCTTGATGTTATTTCTCAATTTTATTTGTTCAAGCGGCAGCCGCTCCTGAATCCTCCATTCCCATCAACTCCGCTGCGGGTAGATTGGGGGAGTTTAAGCATATTTTAGCAATGTTAGCTGTGACGTCATATCACGTCATGCTCACGTCAGAGCTATAGGAGATCATCACAGCCAAGGTCAGAAGGCCGAACCCAGGGCAGGCAGCCGTGGCCGCAGTCAGTCGCGGCAGTCCGGGGACGGACAGCGCCTAGGCAGGCTTCGCCGCCATATTCCAGCCATAGTCCACCCATGTCCACCCATTACCATCAACTCCGCTGCAAGCAGATTGTGGGTTTTTTGGCTTGTTTTAGCACTGTCAGCTTCTGTGAGATTCTGTGATATTCTGTGAGAGTTCGTCAGTGTTCATTATATCACGTCAATTCACGTCATGCTCAGAATCGAGATGATCAGAGCCAAGGTCAGCAGGCCGGGCGCGGGGCAGGTGGCCACGGCGCCAGTCAGCCGCAGCGCTCACGCCGCGGTAGTCTATGGACGGAGAGCGCCTCGGCCAACTTCGCCAATGCAAGATATCACCAGTGTTTGCCAATCTTTGCCACGATCCGATCATAACTGGCGCAGCATATGTGCACCACAGCGCGGCCATGCGCTGCCCGTTCATGCCTGTTCACATCCTGTTCACTTCTGTGCGCATAGTGTGTTCCCATCGTATTCTCCCATATTCCACCATTTGCAGTCTGGGTTTGCAGTCTGTATGCAGTCTGTGTATGTCTGGATATTGCAATATAATGCATTATATATCATGTCAGTATATGTCCGGTGTATGCATGTTGCATTCCGCCGTTCTTCGCGGGATTTCGCGGGATTTTGCGGGCTTTCACGGGCACTACTTGGCGCACCAGTTGCCGGTCTATTCCGGTCTTCGAGGATCTTGAGGCCATCCAAAGCATATCCCAAGCCAGCTATGGGCAGTTACCAGGGCCTGCTTATATCTGCCTAATTCTGCCTATGCCCGCTGAAAGCATCCCAACAAACTCTGAGGTCAAGCACGCGGCGAACCACCCACCGGGAGGCCGGAAGACTGGCTCGACATCGAGGATTTCCGTTTGCCCGTAGAGCACGTGTGAGGCGTAAAGAGTGCGAATGAGTGCGACATCGCGTGACAGTCTGCGGCAGTCTCTGGATGTCTCTGGCATGTCTATGGCATGTCTATGGCAGTATCGTATACGTGTATGATCGTGTATGGCAGTCTCAATGCAGTCTCACGATGTTTCACGCTGTCACGATACGATATATTGCGTGTGGAGATGCTTCGAGGCAAAACATATGCGCAGTGGGATATTGCTGTGGTGCGGAACGGCTGACTTTTAGATGGTGTATGATGGTGTTAGGCAAAAGTGTGTGTGCAAATGTCAGTCCAGCCAAGATCGACCAAGATCGCCAAACCCACCTCCTGGAATTTTCTGGAACTCAGTCCACTGTGATTATTTGTGTATCATTGTGACGTTTTACGTTTTATTTTACACCCCACCAAAAAGCCCACAGACATAGAAGGACCATGAAGGAATGGGAAGCAGATTGAAGGAGCCCCAAGTGACCCCAGGTGAGCCCCTACGAAAACGTCTTCGATGCCGGCTAGCTTTCGAGCATTTTCGGGAACATTGTGGAACTCTCAATCCCCATCAGACCCTTTGGGACGTTTTAGGCCCATGAAAGATCATATCAGGCTTCCTTTTGTGAAATTGTACTTCCTGCCAAGATGCACAGAGACACAGACGCCATGAGACACCGGCCTCATCCGGCCTCCAAAGATGTTTTGGGAAGATTGTATTTTGATGTTTTTTGTGTGGTCTGCGTTGATCTGCAAAAGTGTGACCAGCAGTGAATAGCAGTGATCTTGCCTGTCTTCTATGGTCTGCTGGATTCTACTGGTATAGGTTTGGTATTGTTCCCTGGTGGCTGTGTAGGGGGGGCAAGATGATGGCAAGATGATGCAAGACGGCACAAGGGACGCTTCTCCTAGTTCTAGAATGTTGCTTGGGTTTCTCTTAGATCTTGGGGCTATTTGAACTGGGAACCAACGAGAAGTAATGAGAATCCCCAAAAAAACTTGAACCGAGCCATCTTACAGCTTTGTCGACATTTCGAGGTCGTGGGCATTTCCGTACGTGCATGTGCGTTCCGGCTGAGTTGCAGGTGGCTGCGGGCCAGGAAGTCCGCCACATCAGCGGTCAGCGTGCGATCAGCTGCGTGATGCTGT